GCTCATTTGGAACACATTTATGAAGTTTTGGCATGACGCTCATAATGCACGGGCTCCGCGAGTTAAAAATTGGAAATTGCCTTTGCCGTTTTTCATCACTCGGCTCCTAAAGCACAAGGGTTTCATTATTCCTCCCCATGAACCAAAAGGCGAAAAGATTAAAATTTTTACCGAGCGCCGGTGGATCAATGTTCTTAGCCATTCTAGTACCCCTCAGCTTGCTGCCCCTCTGTTCATCCAAGCTCCACCTCCTCCTCCTTCTGAGGATGCTTCCACAGCAGCAGCCGCTGCAAGGGTAGAGCCTCCGGTCGACTCTCAGCAGGACCAGGCTTTCATCCGGGCTAGCATTGCCGGTATTCATGAGTGGATGGATCGTTTTGAGAATTTTTTGTCCGCGTACACTCGGACTATGTGTGAGACTTCTTCACGTGCCGAAGAAGATTGTCGTTTTGCTGCTGAAGACCGCCGTGTCGCAGCTGAGGAACGTCGTTTGGCTTCCGCCGAACGGCGTAAGACTCAATCTCTCCTCCATTCCATCCTCGCCCGTTTACCTTCTGGACCGTAGCTTGTTGCGAGTGTTGGACCTTATCTTTTTGTTTCATATGTAAATATTTCTCTTGTACCTTTTGTTTTCCTTTTGAACTGTAAGAATTTGCTATGTATAGGTTGCTCTAGTAGACATGATCCCTGTACAGCTCTTTTTGTAATCATGTAAACTCTTTTTGAAATGCAAATTCTCTCTTTTCTGTTAACTTTATGTACATTATTTTTCTGTATTTATGCTTGTGCTATTAATGCTTTTTGTGGTGGTTTCTTTTTGTTCTTCGTCATACTATCCAGGTGGCGCAGTTCATTTCAAGTTTGGGGGTTTTGTTTCACCATGCCGTTTCCTCCCCCTGGGTATTTTTGTTCCTTTTTATACTATTTGTCATTTTTGTCTTTAACTTACATCCATGTCCCACATTGAGGACACTGTGTCGTTCAAGTTTGGGGGTGCATCAAAGCATTCTTGGCATAGTTTTGGTATCATATTTTTGTAAAGCAATGATAGTGTAACTTGGAACGTGTTGGAGACAAAGCATATGTTTAATACCTTGTGTATAGAAGCAATTGAGAAATTTTTGAAAATAAAAAAATTTGAATTTGAAGTGATCATGCAAATACAATGTAGTCTGTATAAATGCCTTAATTAGATTCTTGCTGGATTTGCACTCTTTTAAGCTTCACAATGCACAGATGCACATTGGAAACTTAACTGTGAGGCATGCAACTTGATCAACCTTGACCTTGGCCTAGTTAATCTGATTTGATGAACCTGATAGATGAATATCTTTGGTATGATTTAAGTTGGACTTAAAAAAAAAAAAAAAAAAAAAAAAAAAAAATGAGAAAGAAAGAAAAAAATGACCAGTTGACGTTCGTAGCCTTTCCAACTCGAGCTATTAAGCCCTAGGAGTGTCTCTACACTTAGCACCCTAAAGCCATCTGGTTTGGGAGTTGTTGGCCTAATGCTTGCTATAAGGGTTGGTTAGAAAGCTTAAGGGACTTAAACATTGCACGGTCATTCAAAAAATAAACTGGTAATAAACATGGTTCGTTAGAGTTCGTAGCCTTTCCAACTTGAGCTATTAAGCCCTTTGGAGTGTCTCTACACTTACCACCCTAAAGCCATCTGGTTTGGGAATTGTTGGCCTAACGCTTGCTACATAGGTTGGTTAGAAAGCTTAAGGGACTTCAGCATTGCACAACCATTCTATGTTTCGCTTATGAGTTACAATAAATTGTCAACAAGCAACAAAAGTTGTCTTGAAAATAAAATCATGCCTTAGGGACTTCATATAAAGGGGAATTCATTGATTTGAAAACTTGTGCCTTGGAATTGGAAAAGAAAGTAAAAGCCGCATGTTGAGAATTCAATTCACTTTCACTGGAGTTTGAGTTATTTCCATTTAAGATATGACAATTGAATTATTTATATGGACTATGATGTTGATGCATGCATGTTGAAATGGTTTTTGCCAATTTTTGTATCAATGCTTCATATATGCAAGGTAGTCTTCCCAATGATCCCGTCTCCAGCTCTTTATCTATTTCAAGTTGTATTTGGGCTATGTTTATGTTTATTTTTGCCATGGTGGATATTTTTGTAATAGCATTCCCATGTTTTTCAAGCCATTGAGCTTTGCATTTTGGTTTTGCTAAGTGACTAGCAAAATGTAAGTTTGGGGGTGTGATAAGCGCCGAATACTGTATATTCAAGCGCCCTAAATTACATTAACAAAGTCCATTAATTGATTATTTTATGTAGATTATCTCCATTTGCATGTTTTTGTACATTTTCAGGTTAAATTGCAAAAAGGAAGCAAAAAATGATGCCTTGTGGAATTTTGAACAAAAAGGGTGCCAATTCTAAATTTCTGGCAGCAGTAGAACCTGACTTTTGTCGCCATTTTCGACCTAGTAAACTCAATAACTGGACTTCTATCATAACATGAAAGATCTAGAACTCTGAATAAGCTTTCCAAATCTTCAAGAGGTTCGTCATTCGGAGTTCGGAGCAGAGAGTTATGATCTTCTTAACAGAGGTGCGCAGAACTGCCTGGCAGCACTAAAGTACTACCTTTCTCCCCATTTTCGACCAACCAGACTTGAGAATTGGGTCATCATCAAAACATGAAGTTTTTAAAGCACTGAATCAGCTCTCCAAATCTTCAAACAGATCGTCATTCAGAGTTCGAGACACAAAGTTGTAGCCATTTTACCAAAGTAGGTCAGTGCTGAGCAAGAAGAGCATGTTGCACATTACACTAATTTAGAGTGCTCGAGACCACCCTTCGAGTGCTCGAAATTCTGGCAGATTGCACTCGGAAATGGCTCAATTTTAGCCACTTGCACATTGGTTTCCTCAATGCCATCTTCCTTCTTTATGAAGTGGTTGGAGGTGTTCCTTGGAGGAGAGGGAGCCTTGACTTGAGCTTGATAAGAGAGAGGGAGGACCACACAATATCATTATCCTATATTCTAGCAAGATAGAGGAGAGAGAAGAGAGCAAGGAAGAGAGTGTTCTTGAGTGCTACAGTAGGAGCATGAAAATGGAGTCTTGGATGGAGCTTCTTCCTTCTTCTAGCTTAGCAATGGGTAACTAACTCTTTCTCTAGGGAGGTGATGAAGTCCCTCCCTTGTAAGCATGTCCTAGGATAGTCTATTTTGGGGATTTGCCATGTATATTTTATGGTCTTTTCATAACCAAGAGCACCTCATTTGTTGTAATGAATGTTGATACATGTATGGATGATTCCTTTAAGTTGATTATCTTGTTTTAGATGATGTCTTAGAGTAATCATATTGCTTGAGTTTTCATGGTGAGAGTGGAAGCAAGGTTATGAAATGGTTTCATGGCATGTTGATAGGTGACTTTGATAGACCATTGCTTAGGAAATCCTTTGATGGTGTATGCTTAATCTCTAACTCCATGTGCTTTATCATTTTGTCAAGAACTTGATAGTCTCTCATTTAAGTAAATGTGTATAAGCTACACCTTAGTTAGGTAGTCTAAGCATGTTTGTCTTTTGATGGATTATACTTGTTTGAGACCTAATGTACTTCTTGATTACTTAAATGGCAACCATGTGTTGCTATGTAAGTCTTGACCATCATATGTGGTTTTTCCCCCAATTTAGGTCTAATCTAGCATATGTATAGGGATGGAGGCTGATTCACTTCCCTAGTCTCATCTTCTTAATCTTTTCATCCTAAATTCCTTACAAATTATTATTTTATGCATTTTGAATTTGTAGTTTAGTGACAAACAAAACAAACCCTCTATGAACACCCCTTATCACTCTAAAATGACTCTAGACACTTAGGTTGCCATAGATTAGCGCAGTCCCAGTGGTTCGACTTACCCGACCAATAACCCTATTTTACAATGATTCGTGCTATTGCGAAGAAGGTTGATTTATAATTGATTTCGACCGTCGATCAATAGGCAAAAACATAAATAAGTACTAAGACACGAAAGTAAGATAGATGAATAGACTAAAATACCATAACTTATGTGCTAAAATGCGTCTCATTTGAGAACTTATCAACAATCATGCATGATAAAAATTATTCTCCAATAAATAAATGCAATCAAACCAGTGGTGCTAAGCTAGGGCTACATCACAACCCTAGCAAAACATGACTGGAGTGGAATTCTTCATGATTGAGGAAGACATCTTCACCGCCATAGATTGATCCATTCTTACTTCTGAATGTTTCTCTTCTGATTTCAACCTCAAGCTCCTCTCTATGATATTTCAGTGCTGTAGAGAACCCCTTTAAATAATAAAATATCAGTCCTAAAGTTCCCTTTTCCATATAGAAAACATACACAGAAATTCTGCCAAACAAGGACTCCAAAATTCGTACAGACTTCCAGTCCAATTTTTGACAAGGTAAACAATTGTTTTATGGAATCTTAATACAAAATTGTAGCTCTTCAAATTTCCTTTCAACTCACGCGAGAACTTAGCTGTTTTGACACTTAAGGATAGAAATACAGCCAGATTACCAAAACGGGTTCAAGTTACCAATATTAGCGAAAGTTTCCTTTTCGGAGAAGGATTTTTTCTTTTCTTCTTCTTTCCATTCTCATCAACTTGTGGCTTCTTTTGGACTATTTTCTAAGTATAATTAGACTTGGATCTTCACTACAACAAATGTGACCTTTTGTGACAAAAATTTTAGTAACAAAATCGATTTCGTCAATAAAGGTAGCTCTTTAGCAATGACCATAAATTTTGTCACAAGAAGAATATAATTTAGTGATGAAATATAAAGTTAGTCACTACTTGTTTGGCAGGAAAAAAAATTAAGCTCCCGCACTCTCCAGGGCATTTTATATTAATGACTAAAGATTTATATTGTCTTTATTTTTTCTCTAAACCACGTCGTATCCCTTATACATTAAGAATTAAACTTTCTAAAAATTACTCATCTCATCCGTATCTCTTAAAAACAACCACCACATCTCATCTTAATTACTCATAATGAAAAAACACCAGAACGTGGTATACCCTAATGATATCCCAAAAATTTCCCCTTGATTTCCCATCACTCTCAATTTGCACATGATTTCCTATCGCTCTCAATATATTGTAGAGAGAGAACAGCCAAGGTATGGAGATTTGTGTCACTGAATCTTTACTACATTCAATAAAGTTCAAAAATTAGGGCTTGGGTTTTATAAATTTGTCAAGCAATCACTTTCTCTTAACCCTAACACTCTCTTTGTCTGCAGATTGACCCTTCAATCACCTTTGTCTTGGTTCACCGATCAAACTGTCAGAGACACCGTTCGATTGCTATTTATTTCTCTGTAAGTTTCAAATTTAACTCTGATTCACTTCAAAATTTGTTGTTTTTTCTTCCCAATTCTGGTAAATCTTTGTTGTAAGATTTTATTGTGCAACACATGTTTTGATATGCTTTGGAAATATCACCTATTTTTGTTACTTTTTTATTTTTTGTGAAAATATCTTTTGTTGTCACAACTTGTGCTGATGTATTATTTGTTTGAATTTGACAGAATTACATGGTGATGCATTATAAATATAAGTTGTTACTTTTTGCTTGCTCAAATATACTCCTTCTTGGAATATCAAAAATGTTATTTTATTTATTTATTTGTGAATTTGACAAAGCTTTAGTTCTTACATAGTGATATATTAGAAATAGAAATTGTAATGCTCCTAACCACTCCAAGTTACCATTTCCCCTGTAGAGAATTGAAATTGGGTTAATGTATTTGTGCATGCCTATAGAATGTAAGAAATGCTGAATTCAAAAAGTAATTGGTGCCTTTTCGTAATAGGCCCATATGCATGCATATATATCCATTTGGTATGCAATTTATACGTGCATGGGTTTATTTCTAACTTTTCAAAAATCAATATAACAATAAGTATAATAATTCTCAGTTAATTGGTCTAGCATCATTCATGTGTTGGTACCTTATGGAAGGCTCAAAATATTTTAGAGATGAGATGTGGGATGTTTAAGAAATTACTTAGGAAAATGATTCTCTATACTTAGAGATGCTTCCACTTGGATGTATTAAAGTGTCATTGCTCAATCCCTAACTATGCAATTAGTTAATATATTGAGTTCAATGAAATAAATAAGCAGATAAAAAGCTTAAGCAGTAGTTTCTCTATGTCCTAAACAATTATGGAAGCCTCCCAAAGTTAATGTAGATGCATCTTACAGTGCCATTAAGGAGAGTGCAAGATAAATATTAGTCCTAAAAACAGTTGATTGACTAGCAATGATAATTCAAACCAACAAGAATTCCATATCAACCAAATAGACAATTACAAAATTTAATAGTTATGTATGATTTTTGTTTAGAACTTGCTGAAATCTTAACCCTTGAATATCCTCTTTAACGTGGCCGCCTCTTGTTTCCTTTATATATAAGAGATTTTTAGTCTATGGGTGCCCTTTGCTTTCCAGTGATGGAAGTTCTTTATGGAGAATCTTTTTAGTCAAAGGTCTTTGACCCTTTTTTTTTTATTTATTATTATAACAATTGTCTCTCTTTTTCTATTCCAGCGATGTTGATCATTTAGGTAGTGTTACTAACAGTACAATCACACGATCCACCACAATAGAGTCACTATTTTAAGTTTCTCTTATCTCTTGTATTATATATTATATTTGTACCACCTAGTAAAGACACTAACATTGTTCTTTTTACTTCTTTTTTTATTATTTTTGTAGGCTTGATTATTCTTAAATTAGCTGAGGCTTTTTATTAATCATCGACTTGGATCTCTAGTAAGAAAGTCTAAAGTTGGGTTATGTCATTGCCATTTCTATTTCCTTTTGTTCGAAACATAATTTTTTACTTTTTTCATAGTTGGATTAGTTCTGTTCTTTTATGGTTTATTCATATTTGTAACTTTTTTTTTTTTATATTAATAATGATGCATTTTACTTAGATTTAGAACTTTTAAATACTGTATTGCATATTATAAAATCTGTCATTTGGTCATAGTAATTATTTGCCTTAATTCACATTTATGACATTCACAAACATATATGTTTAGCAAAAGTAGCCCTTTACTAAACGAAGTTGGGCTGAATTGTACACTATTATTTGGTTTCACACTTTAGTAAAATGAAGTCAGTGTATGTGTAATAAGAGACTGATGTATTGTTGGGCTCAATCAATCTAAATTCAAGAGAAAGTGAAGAGGCAATACTTTTTTTTATTGCAAATACTGGGCAGCCTTCCCTTCCACCCCCAAAATTAATCTAGTTAGCGTTATAGAATGATAAATTTTTTAAATTAAGACAAATATTTTAGGACTTTGAATACTTTCTTGTAATTTCTTATTTTTTAATAGTGAACTTATTGTTTTTGGGATGATGTATCAATATTTATTCTTCCCCTTTTTCTCTCAATTTTTTTGAAAACTCCCTTGTTTGACATTCGATATGGTTTTTGGAAGGCTACTTTATGGTAAGTAATTATATCTCTCTTAGATTCAATTCAATTTTTATAATTTTTTTTTTATCAATATTTTTTACTAGGGAAACACTTCATTTTGCAGGTAATTCAGCTTGTTAAGAGAATTGTTTCTTAATTTGATGGAGTGTTCTATGGGGGTAAGGATTGCCTCATTTTTGTTGGTACTAAGGGTTCAGTTGTAATATAATCTATGGCATTTTCTTGTAATATAATGTTATGAACATGTAGAAACCATAACTACTTCATTAATGATATATATATATATATATATATATATATTTACTTTATGTTTAAAGTTCTTGTTAAGGTAGCAGTCTTGGAGAATCTGATATATATGTACACATTGTTGTATCCTTTTTTGTATAGAAGTTTAGTAATATACCAACAGAGCTGATCGAAAACATATTATTGTAATTATCATGTATAAAGAGAAATGAAATTTGAGCATGATTCTCTGATAGTCACTTTATGCAATGCTACATTCTCAATTTATTCATCCATTAAATTACACATAATTAAAAAAAATAAATAAAAATAAAATAAAAAATACACTAATATTATCTTATTTATAAGTTGTACACAATATTCTAATGACCTTTATATTTTTGAATTGTACAGCGATTGATTGGGGATGACATGAAGAAAACGAAGTACTCAGGGAAACGACGAACTAAAGAGATGAGAACTTTGAAGTGCTACCATAGATGGAGATCGAGTTGGGGGTTTGCTTTTATGTTATAGTTCTGTCATTTGTATTAGACAATTGGAAATTTAGTTTAAATTTTGTTTTAGAATTGAACAAATGTAGAAATTTATTCAAATTTATGTTAAGTTTGTACTTGAACACAGAATTATTATGTATTTCATAATAAAATTTAATGTTATGTTTAAATTTGTGTTACTATATGGAGTTTGAAATATGTGCAGTTGAATTTGTGTTGCTATTTTTTTTAATTTTTTTTTTTAATAGCAACAACGATAAGAAGTTCAGAAAGAAAGCGAAAATTGGTTTTAGCAACAAAAAGCATTCATCATTGGATAAGTTAGTAACGAAAACTTTTGTTGCTAATGTCCAATAAAATATGACAAATATTTTAGTCGCTAAAAGGCTAATAGACGTGATGAAAAGTTTCGTCACTAAAAGTGACGCAATAGTGACAAAAAAATTTTTGTCACTAAAAGCCAAGGCAGTAATGACGAAATTCTCATTCGTCACTATAAAGCAACCGAGACGATTATATAGCAACGAAATAGTGACAAATAATTTTTTGTCACTAAAACCTTCTAGCAACGAAAAACTTGGTTTTTGTGACGAAAAAAAACGTTGCTAAAGGTCACTTTTGTTGTAGTGCTTCAACATTGCTCGGTCCCATGAAATGTCATTTTTTAAAGCTTAAAATCAATTAAAGCCCTGAAATAAATAAAAATAATAAAACAATATACAATCACAAATAAACTACTATTAAGAGAATAAAACATGCAAGTAAATGGGGTAAAATGTATAACATTCAGCGCCTAACACACCCCCAAATTAACATATTGCTAGTCCCATAGCAATAAAACTAAATAAAACATAAATGTCACTTTCATGGGAATCACGATTACATTTAGCGTATACAACAAGCCTTTTAAACCCCTAAGGTACCCTTAGTGGACGAATGAAGTCTCGTGAGGGTTTCCAGAGATGATACCCACAAACATTCAAAACAATTCAATCCTTTGGCAATCAACATATTCTCATATCGTCGCAATAATTAAGGGGAAGACTACATAAAAGTACTTTAAAAATTATTAACTGACAATACTCATTTGTCCCTATTTTCATACTTCATCCCAATGTTTCCTACACACTTATATAACAAGAACAATAGCAAAATCAATCCCCAATGTTGTGAAATTTGTGAACTAGCAAATCACCTATGTAGTAATGTCTTTTCAATCGAACCCAACTTCTATAACTTCAATTCCTCATCCTTCTCAAGTTATTTTCTATGGCAAAATATTTTTCTTTTTTTTTCTTACACACATTGTATTGATTGGTTGTACAGTGTCCGGTCTATTAAGCTTTCTAGAAGACTTATATAACAAGCTTTCGGCTAATGATTCCCAGACTAGACAATCTTAGGGCATTAGGTGTAAAGACATCCCTAAGGATTTAATTGCTCAAGTCAACTAGGGTACAAACCTAGACAAACCAAATCAATTTATTTTAATGTTTTCTTTTTTTCTTTTTCTTTTTTGAATTATATATGCCATCGTACTAACCTTCAAAGTTCACCAATTTATATTCATTCATAGTCATCAGAATTCAACCAAAAATACAAATACCCATAGATAAAATTCTAGTGTGCATGTGAAATCCATTAGGGACTAACAAATACTACAATTCCTATCATACTAGATAATGGAACCCATATAAAATAAAGCACGAAAATTAGGGATTCAAGATGATCTCAGAAAAGAATTTTAAAAAGTACTTAAGTGTCTTAACCCCCCCCCCCCCCCTCCCCCCCAAAAAAAATAATTCTCAAATACTTGAATTAAAGTTAATATGCCAAAGAAAATGAATTGATTGATTTTTTTTTTTTAACGACTAGAGTAGACTTTATGCCCCCAAACTTGAAATGGACAGTCTCCTCATTGGGCAAAAATAAAAAAAAAAACAAGAAAAATAATAATAATAATAAAGACAAAGAATGAAAGTAGCTGGCAGGATAACTAAAATGGAGGCGGTGTAGCATCAGGATTAAGCCCGCTATGAATCATAAGTGCGCGCATCATGTCCATCATTGATATTTGAACCTGATGAATCATCCTCTATTCCTCAAGAATTGTCCTCTTCCCCTGATGGATTTCTTGAACTTCAGAATGGAGTTGGGTCACCTCACCCACCAAATAGTCATAAGTATTATCATCAGTTTCATCCTCAACATCACTGCTTGCCTCTGCCATAGGTCTATAATAAGGTTCATCCACGAGCTCATCATCTATGAACGGTCTAGTAGCCAATTTACTTGGATGAACAGGCAAAACATGTTCGCCCTTCATAATTTTTTGAGCCTTTTTTCTCTAGGTGCAGCAACCACTTTTAATTTTATATGAGAACTACTGCGATTCCAATCAATCGCACCATAGCGATCATTGCGCTTAGAAGACAACTCATCTGCGGCAATAGTGTAGCCTTGAGAAGTTAGCAGTTGAATAACAAAGAATGGAAAAGGAAACTCCCAATCTTTTTCTTTTTCTGGAGTTTGCTTGACCACCAAGTCATAAAATTTCCTAAGCTGCCCATAGATGATTTCCGAAAAAGATATCCAATGGCCAAAATGGATGGCATATAAGGCACGCAGAAAATCTTGATGACGCTCAGATTGATGAGTAAGAGGGCACACATTATGAAAATGTTTGGCATTAGCGAACCATAGGTGTAATGGCAGAGACAATTTGACAGTAAAATTAAATTTGGAGCTTAAGAAACAACTAGCAGCAAGGCGACTAATCATCAGTCTAATGGGACCCTCTGACATCGGAGTGAAAATTGACTCCAAATCAGTCGGGCATTGATGTGGACATCCTATAGCCATGGCAATCATCGAAGGAGTAATGCAAATTATAATACCATCAACGGATGACACTAGTGCTCCCTGTTCATCTGGATTGGAATAAAGATTTTGATAAAAAAACCTTGACTAGTCTGGGGTACATGAGTTTACCAGCTGGCTCAAAAAGGCATTCAGTTTGCCAGCGCTGGAAATTTACAATAGGTCACTGAGTTTTCGGAATGTTTTAATTTAGAATGGCTAATAAGCGGTGAAAAGTGCGCATTTAAACCTCTTAATCTTGAATGTTCTAGGACCTTATTCTATCTTATTTCCCTATTTTAGTCTAATTTCATGTTATTCTCCTTTTCAGGCACTTATCCCCAAAATAAGTCAAATCAGCTGAATTAGAGCATTGAAAGAAACAATCTGAAGTCTAGTGGAAGAAAGGAGCAAAGTGGAAGCAAAGTGGTAAAAAATTCCTCTTCGATCGATCGAACCAAGCTACGATCAATCACATTATGATCATTCCAACCCTACCATGATGGATCGAATCCTTTGTCCTTATCTTCAGAAAAATTTCCTATACGATTGATCCAACCTTTTATTCGATTGATCCAACCTTTTGATTTTATCCTCACCAACCACTTTTGTCCTTTTCCCAAAAATATCTCTACCTTTGTCTTATCCAAATAATTATGCGGCCATACTTTGATCGATTAGAGCAATAGTGTGATCGATCAAACTGCATCAAATTACGTGCAAAGCAGATTTCAAGCCAAATTGAAGGTGTGCTCGTGGTACAATCATTTGGAGGTCCTAGTGCATGTGGTTTGACCATTGGGTGTGACATTTGAGCTACCTATATAAGGATTTTGGCCATTTTTAGTAAGAAGTTGGTTAGTTAGAGAGAAAATTGGCTGGGGATTAAAGAGAAAAACATACATTTTGAGAAAGTTCTTCCACTCTTCTAGGGTTTCTACCAAGAACACCAAGGAAGGAGGATGAATTCAACCATGAAGATAGCCCTTGAGGGTTGGATGACAAGATCAATGAGTGGCTAAATTATTCTCTAGGGGCTAGAGATAGCCCTAAGCATGCCTCATAGACTTTGATATTTTGTAATTAATGGGGATTTGTGTTGTAATTCTTGTTTTGACCTTATATATATATAAATCTTATTTCTACATGATTTGTGTAGTTTAATGCTTCCAATTGATTATTTAATTCTATCCATATGTCCATGTATGCTAGAATGAATGTTCATATGTTTTTCTCTAGATTTTGTGACATTGATGCATGTCTATGTGTGTTGATATTATGAATCTAGTGATGGTTAAGGTATGGTGCTTAATTGATTACTTTTGTGGTTTATTTGATGGTACATACTTATTTCCTAATGGATTGTTCTACCTCCTTACTTTAATTAGTTTAATTTTCATGTCATTAGCATAATTGTAATGTAATTGCTTTAATTTCTTAGATAGGTGAAAAATCCATTATTGTTGTTTGATGATCCATACTTATGAGTACAAGTAGTATATTTCTCTAATTTCTTAAAGGTGCATTAATTGTGGGCTTATGGAAGGATTAATAATTTAATTTGATATATTGTGCTATTCACTAGATTGAGTAAACAATGTATGCTTACTTGGCCATCTGAGTTTAATATTTCAATTAATGGCACACACTTCTTTTACAACATATAATCCCCCTAATCTATCAAATATTGAATGTCTAGGAAGGCAAGGCTTAATGGTGAACTCTATGTCCCAAGAATCCTCTCTCATTCTCTACACCACATTTGTTTAGTTGTTTTACATTGCATTATTTTAGCTTAAATTGTGGCATAATTCAAACAACAAATCCCTCTTTTGATTTCGAAATACCATTTTTTCCTTTAGAATGATCCCTACTCACTCTTGCTACGTTAGTAGTGGTAGTGGCATTTTACAAATTCAAACTTGGCCACATTTCATCCTACGACAAACACCAATGGCGATGTCAAAACCCACTTCATGATTAAGAAGGCAACCATGCCACCTCTCATCAATGGTATCTTGAAGAGTTTGCTATATTACAGAAGATTGAATAGAGTGGCTTGTGAAAGCACTGACTTGGGTGGCATTCTTCTTTCTTGGAGCCATGTAAGATGGAAAAATTCTTTGAGGCCTTTTTTTCAAACACTTGGTGGGCACCCCCAATTTCTTGAGAAATTTGTCTTAAAACTTTGTTTTTGTTCTCCAAATTTGTGCAATAGGAAAAACATGGCCGGGCGATGGTTGCCCAATGACCAGGCAAATGATCACCCGGTGCTGAA